CTACCTTCAGCAACTTGCCATTGTAATACAAGCAGACTCTATCTGGCAGCTCAGTTTTACAAAAACACAATGAAAAGAGTAAAATTTATTGTTAATTCTTATTGTTCCCTTGCTTAAAATAAGAAAGCAGAGAATGCAAAAAAATTCAGTGATTTTATTAGCAAGTTTCACCCCAAAATTCTATTCAAAAAAGAATATAAATTTATGTGATATATCCTTAAGTATATGTTCATGATTTCAAATAAAAAGCATAAGGGTTTTTTTTTTGGTTTTTTTTTTTCAGTAGCATTTTTTCCCCCTCTTAATTACTTCATGCTTTTGGGCACAAGTAATTGATCCTGGCACTGTCAGAGCCCTTTAGTAGCACAAGATGAAAAGGTAATAAACAAACATGAGAAAATAATGCTAAACATTATAGCATTTCTTAGTCCCTTCAAGGAATTTTGCAAAACCTTACACAGAAATATAATCAATTATTTTAATTATGATAAGCATTTAGTGTAAGAACACCATTATGAGAACAATATAGAATAGACTAGACTAGACTAGACTAGACTAGAGTAGAATAGCAGAGAGTCCCTGGCTCTGTAACTGAACAGGTATAGGAAGTGCCATTTTCCATAGCTCCTCTGGGGCACATCTATGTGCAGCATCAGAATTCCATTCAAAACCTGGTTTTAGGCATTATTTTCCAGCTTTCAAAATATTCCTTACCTTCACATTAGGTGAAGGTAGATACCACTTTTATGTTCAAGAAATCATACTCTCTTTTTCACCAAGTTTTCTTTAAATAAAATGGCTCAATTAGTTTTGTCCAGAGCTAATGAAGACATTTCAAATAACAATTATGTAGACCTAAATAGCTAGATTTTTAAAGGCACCTATCTAAAAAGGCACTCATCTGCATCCTAAAAAGCAGTCATGCACCAATCACACATAAATATAAAATGAATCACTTTTTCTTAGAAAAGTTTACAAAGTATAGTTGTAAATTCTTTGCAGAGCATATTGTGCAAAGTTTTGCAACAGACTATAGCTAGTTTGAATATAGTCAGGGGAAGAGTCATTAAAAGAAAAGAGATTTAACTGAGGTTTTTTTAATTGATTACTCAAAAAGATTTCTGATGCATGAAGGGTAAGTTTAAATGTGTGAAAAATGCATATTATATGATTGGCTCTTCACAAATATTGGAAGGAATACTATATGTGTTATGTTGTATTAATTTGTAGTACTGTTAATTAATCCTTTTTACGTAGTGTGGCAAATCTAGTTTTAGGCTATAACCTAATATTATAATAGAAACTATGTGAGGTAAGATACTTTTTGTAACTAGCTCAAGGAATGGATAAAATAATCAAGAAATTCTTTGCACAGAGATAACAGGAATGAGACACTAAAATCCAAAGAGAAGAATTATTGCCTCCTTATCAGGAAGAACCAGACTCCTTCCACCTCCTTCCAGACTTTGAGGAGCCAAACAATGATTTACAAGAGGGAAGGGGGGAAGTTGAAATAAATATAAATTAACAGAAAAATAACAGAATTAACAGAAAAATAACAGAATAAACAGAAAAATCCCTAGTTTGAAAGGAATGTTTGCATCATATATGAGACATATGAATATGCAAGAGGCTATTGCTTTTAAGGGTTAATCCTTTCTTGCTGGGTATGCTTTTGGAGGGCTTAATGCCCAGGAAGCATCCGGACATCCATAATTCTTTGCTTTTTTACTGTTCTTTATTGTCCTGACTCTGTCCAAATTCTTACTGCTCTAATTGTTATTACTATTTTTATAACCATTTTACTACTATTAAACTTTTAAAATTTTAAAACAAGTGATTGGTGTTTTCACAAGACACATTTAGACAAAGATGCCCTCAAATAGCATAAATAATAGAGACTAGAACACGACTTAGAGGCCTAAAGAGCTGGATAGTTTCAGGGTTTAAGAGCTTAATATGGCTTACAGGGACAGCAGGCAGCATGCTGCTCGATAACCTCCTATCAGAGCAGAAACACGTGGTCACCTCTTATGTCTTCTTTTTTCAAAATCACTAGAAAGTCATTCCACAAGGACTTCATAAAGGATGAAAACAAACACTTGAGATTGAGAGTGGTGTTAGCAAACACCAAGGTTGTGGTTTTGATGCTCGTATGGACCTTTCACTTAAGAATTGGACCTAATGATCCTTATAGACCCTTTCCAACACAGAATATTCTATGATATAGACAGGCTGATAGTTGTGAGGGAAAAGGAAATAGATGTGTTGCCCTTTGGTGCTACAAGTATCAGGAACCATGTAATGACATTTTAGTTCAACTAGCTAAACAAGAAAAATTGAAAATATACAGAGCTCTTAGGTGCCTTTCTCCAAATTACTGTTTCATTTTCTGATGAGAAGACCTTCTCAGACATCCTTGACATGCAAATAATTGTGTAAAGTAATTTCTGTGCTCTTCCAATTAACCTGCAAGGTCTGGTTTATGGAAGTAGGAAAAAAAAGTATTTTTTTGTTTTTCTCAAAGGTAAAACTCAAGTAAGCTCCATTATTTTTAACAGGCAACTGTCTCAGGGTCTTTCACTGGCACTCAAGTTCTTACCTTTTAGGTATAAGACAAGAAAGTTCCATATTCCTTTTGTAAGTGAAAAAGGTTCTACACTTTAACTCAGAATTTGGAAATATAACCCAAAAAAGCTGCTGTATACCATCACAGAATATCTCAGTTTTTTAAAATTCTCTTTCCTGACTTTGACTCTAACCAATAAATTAGACTCAATTACTAATAGTCAGGAATTCTAAAAAAATCTAAAAATGATTGCCAGTTTCCACACACAGGTTTGAAGTTACATCACAATTCATGAAAAAAAATTGTCTCATAGCTGTCTTGAAGCAAATTTTCTGCATTCAAATTTTTTGGATACAAGGTTTTTGTATTTTTACGTGGCTTGAATACTAAACAAATCTATGCATTTCAATGACAGAACAACCCCCACCCTTCCCCCACACCAAAGAAACAAAGAAATATTCGAGGACATCAATAATTCTTCTTGTTTCAAAATAAAAAACACAAGTTGCTCTACTTTTTTGGTTTCTATCTGAAAACTCAAAGACTACCTTAATGTGCTGATTATTAAGAATACTAGCTTCTGATTCAGGGAAAAAAAACCTCTATGCAGACCGGAACCCATGGTTTTAAGGATGGCAGTTTTGCCAAGAGGGCATTTAAAAATACTAATATTGTCTTGCTATAGTTTTTACTGACCAAGGCAATCTTATTTTCTTTTCCCCTAATGCTTTGCATCTGACATGCTAAACTGCATGTCACTGTATGTCACTGCATGACACTGTGTGTCATCATATTCACCCTAAGTGAGCAACCCAGCATTGTTAGATTTTACGCAGTCCATGAATCAAGAACATTTCTGTAAGACAATTTAACATCAGTGACTATCTTTCTAAGAAATATTCTTCCTTGACTTTAGAATATAACACTTTCCTCTGTCGTATGTCCCTGTGTTGCAAATAAGTTGCTTGGACTTGTCAAGAGAAAATATATCTCACAGGAATTCATAGGATAGAAACATGGTGATACATATTGGCATTCAGAGGACCTGAATCAGTCAAGTTCTATTGAAGTCATAAACCTTGTAAAAAGTTATCATGGAAGCTTATTCACATGTTCCATGCTCCATCCCTACAGCACCTTCAGCATAATCTGTTGTTCACATAATCTGAAACATTATTCCCATTAAAAGCCTACAATTTTCAAGGGGGAGACACATGCTATTTAAATCAGTTTTACACTTTCCAAATTCAGGATAATTGTGTGACATTTAATCTGTTTTCTCAGTTAATGAACTGTTAAATTTGTTAACTTGTTAATAAGTTAACTAATCACTGTTTTCACAGTATCTATATGCAATTTTATATGATCCAATACAATTGATACACTGCTAAGTTTAGGCCTCTGTGATAATGAGTCTGCTTCTGAACAAAATCTGACTGTTGCCCCTGTTACTTCAGCTGCAGATATATATCTGCACAAGGTTTCTTTGCTACTCTGACATTTTATTAATTTCCTTCAACACAGTGCCAAATGTCAGAGCTCACCACCAATATGGATATCTCATTCTGTAGGCACAGTATACCCCTGAAATCTTTGCTGAAGTATACAGTAATAAACCAAACAAACAAGCCAAGAAAAAGAATCTTGTAATGGATTCTAACAACTAAGGGATTATCCTGTCAGGACAGCGTTTAGTCGAGGAACAATTCGACACAAGAGCAATAAATTTATGGAGAGTAACTCTGTAGCATAGTCAGGGTCCTGTCATCCATGTTCACTGGCTTTGTAATGCACTGACTCTTCCATCATCTTCAGCTGTGGTCCATCTAGAAACAGCCCTTTCTTGGTCTTTCCACCACTGGACCACAGCTGAAGCAAAAATTAGAGTTTTCAGGATCTACCACTTTCCAAATCATCCTTTTTGTTATTGTTGAGGAATACATCTACAACAGGTAGCTCGGCAGCATCGGAGTACCAGATCCTGCACCGTCAACAAACAAGACATCTGAGACTGCTGTGGGAAATCCGGTCTGACCGCGTGAGTGGTGTGTGTGGGGAGATAAAGGGGGACACATCGGGTCACTGGGTCCGCTGCTGCGAAGGGGCTTCGGTGTCAGCAGTGGCAGCTCTGACATTGGGAATTGGCTGCCAGGGAGTCTCATAAATAGTCACACTGGGAAGTTTCCGTAACATTTGTGTTTTCACTAAAGTCAGTTATAAAATTTCGGTTCTTTTGTACATAGAATCGGGCTAAAACAGAGGACCGGTTAAAAAAACCAAACCAAACCAAACCAAAACAAAAAACCACAAAAAACCCCACAAAACTACCCCGCCTTAGATTTGTTACATCCGAAGCAGCCCCTCACTCGCGCTCAAGCTCTACTGAACACCTAGGAGAGGGAGTGGAGGTGCTTCCGCTTCCGGCGGCCGCGCTGCGCGGCCGTGTTGGGCGGGAGGCCCTGGGAGATGCGGTCGCCGGCGCTGCTTCGGCTCCTGGTGGGGCCGCTGCTGGTGTTACTGGTGCTGCTGGAGGCCGCCCGGTGCGGGGAGGCTGCGGCCCCAGGCTCCCGGGACGCCGCCACCGCTTCCCCGCGCCCAACGGAGGCGGCCGGCGGGGCTTCCACGCGGAGCAGCAGCAACAGCAGCAGCAGCAGTAGCCGCCTGGCCGAGGTGTCGGCGCCGCCCGAGCAGGGCCAGCCCATGACCCAGCGCGCCCTCTCCGTGCTGGTGCTGGCCAGCGCCGCCCTCATCGTCTACTTCGTGATCCGGACCGTGCGGTGAGGGCTGGGAGCGGGTGTGTGAGCCCTGGGTGCGCAGCTGCGCGGCCGGGTCTGCGGAGCATGTCGACCCCGCGCCTCCTTGTGGGGCCGGCGAGTGGCGCCCGACTGCTCTGGGAAGCTCCCGGTGCAGTCTCCCCGGTGTGGGTAGCTCGGTCTGCTCCGCTCGCGTCACAGAGAATCGCGCATCAGTGTTGGGCCTTTCCCGACTCCCTCCTGTGCCCTCCCGGTGGACTTGTCGCTGCTGGCATCCGTCAGCCCATCTAAATTTATTTTGTATGTTCTTAGAGTGATTTTTGATAAGTTTGCAAACTTCTGTATCGCTAAACTACCAAAGCTGTCCTCCCCGACTTTGTCAGTAAACATCTTTCTTCTATGCTTTCTTTCACAGTTAAATTAACCTATTTTGTGTCTTTTAGAGAAAAGGGCACTTAGGAAGCTTGCTACCACTTACCTGTCTTTCTGTTTCTCACGTATCTCAATGTGCTTTTGCAGTTAAGTACATTGTTTGTCCCTGTATTTTTTTGTCCTGGTATTTTTACTTCTCTCTCTCATGCTTTAATAACTTGAATTCTTCAGCGCAAGGCCCAAATGTATGATTATGCATAAAGCACCTCAGTTATGGACCCAGTTCTCCATGTACTTTTCATTACATTTAGATATACCTATTGTGTCTAATATCTGCATCATTTAGTTTAGAAAGGCAGTTGAAGGACTGTTCTTTGTGTATCATGTACTAAGATACAAAGTCCAAGTAAACTAGGATATTTTGATTGTTTCATACTTATTGCAAATCACTCTTGAGAAGCCTTGAGGGCACTTTTCAGTGTTAATGTGTCTTGTAATACCAGCCTGTTGGATTTGGAGATGTGAGTAGTACTGTGGAAAGGCCAAATAGATAAATAAAAGTCTGTCAGTCCAGGAGCTGGAGAGGAAAATTTTCATCTATTGCCATTATTATCTGGATGAGTGGTAATTACTTGATATTCTGGTTTTGGCAGTATACCTGTTTTGCTATTCTGCATTTGCAGCTGGAGTGCTGTCTTCTAGGTGCTTCTGTAAACTGGAAACTTTACACCTCACATTATTCTGTAATTCCATCTTGCTTCTGAATTTTGGAATAGGTAAAGTGTATGTTTTTGAATTTGAACCTGTAGCTGAAATGTTCTTGCAGTGGTTATATAAGAAATACAAGGATTAAGTGCAAATGACCCATTTTTTGAATAGGTTTCCTTGGTATGAAGGCATATCTTGTTGTAAGATGTAAAAACTTTTTTGCAAACTTTCTACTTTATTGCTTGCCCAGTGGATTAAGGGAAGAAAGTGAGTGTAGTGTTTCTGGATTTTAGTAAGGCTTTTGGTGCTGTTCTTCACAGTACCCTTCTGGACAAGCTCTGTAGCTGTGGGGTGAGCAAATTTGTGGTGCACTAGTAGAAGAGACAGCTAAATGTCAGGGCTCATAGCGTTGTAGTAAGGAGGGGTGCATCAGGCTGGTGCCCAGTCACCTGCTCCTCAGGTCTCAGTTCTAGGGCCAGTTTTGCTCAATACTCTTATCTAGAGACAGGAGTTGGATGGCCATTAGCAACTTCGCTGATGACACGAAACTGGGAGGCGCAGTTGCATCTCTCAAGGTGCAAGAGGCCTTGCACAGGAATCTAGATAGATTGGCCATTGGGCAATCACCAGTGGAAGGACATATAACGAGAACAAATGCTGGGCTCTGCAGCTGGAACAGGATACTAGTTTTACTTGGGAGAGAAGCAACTGTAGAGCGGCCATGCAGAAAGGGATCTCAGGGTGCTGGTTAACAGCAAGCTCAGTATGAGCCAACATGTGCCCTGGCAGCCAGGAGGGCAACTTCACCCTTGGGTGCATCTCACACAGCACAGCCAAACAGTCAAGAGAGGAGATTGTCCAACTTTATTCAGCATTGTCACTTCTTGTGAGTAACTGTGTACAGTAAGAAGCATACTAAGACGTGAATACAACCAGACTGGAGAACCAAGCTGATGAATGAGCTTGAAGGCCTGTCCTCTGAGGAGCAGCTGAGAGATGAGGCCTGAGGGGTGACCTCATTGCTCCCTGAGGTGCCATTGGTCCTTGAGGAAGGAGATGCATATCCCTTCTTGCTGAGATCCTAGCTATAGGATGCATGGGAATGATTCAAAGTTGCACCAAGAGAAGTATAAATTGGACATTAGGAAGCATTTTTTACAGGTAGTGTGGTCAATGGCTGGAGCAGGCTTCTTAGAAAGGGGATCAGTGTTTAAGAGGTATTTGGACAATACCCATGCTTTAAATTTTGGATTGATCAGGCAGTTGACATGATAGTAGTTGTAGGTCCCTTCCAATTGAGCGGTTGTCAGTCACAGAGTAAAAGATCTTAAATTATTTTTGTTAACACTCAGGACACTGCTTTAGAGTCATGGCTATGATCATACATGCTTGTTGAGTAAGCATCTCCACTATTCCTACAGCTGTAGTTTTAAAACTACTTACACAGAGAAGGGTTTGAGTTGCAAGTGATTAGTGTTTTTTCAACAGGATTTGCTTGAATCTAAAATCTGTGCCAGCTTTGTGATAAGTTTTATTTGCATTTTCTACAACCTAGACATTTGCCATGATTGTCCTAGGTTACTCCCAAATCACAGTAGCCACTTACTTTCCATTTTAATCCATTAAGGAAAAAAGGTAAAATGTAGGGAAAAAGGTAAAATGTAGAGTGAAATTGACAGAAATATTGACTGTTTGAGTAGCATGTACTACCTCTTCTTAATTTTTTTTTTTTTGGTGTGTGTGTGTGTGTTTAAAATAGATTCTTATCTGCTAGGCTATTCACAATGCTTGTCGTAGTCCCAATTGCTTAACTTCTACTGTAGTGAAAACCAAAAGGTACAATATGTAAGAAACAACCCTATTTTCATCATACTGTCATCTTAAAAGTTTTAGAATTTTATTCTACTTGGTGCTTTGAAGTAGAACTTCTTTAGAACTTCTTTCTATGTTGAGGAATAAAAACCAGATTAAATAAATGAAGAACATGGAAAAGACTTTGTCTCGAACTGAAAAGTGAAATTTTTGGTTTTGGTAGTAGCCTTAGCTTTAAATGAAAAATCTGGGTATTTTGTTCTGGTCTGAAGCACTCAAATGCCTGCGATAACAGTTGCTGCATTTTCACGTAATAATTGAGAGTCGAGGAAATGGCCATGTTAATTATTTCTTATAACATTAGAAATTTGAGAACTTTGAAGAATGGTATGTACTTTATCTCCTTCCCATTCTTACAAGGTTACATTTACTTCTCAGTTCCAAAAGGAGAAACATTTTATACATTGGAGTGTAGTGAAAAGATAAACCAAGATTGAATTCTGTTGTGTGTTCTTTCAAGAAGGGTATTTAAACAAGTTGTGTAAGTGCACTAGAGTTTCAGGGCAGGATTTGAAGCTGAGAATCTCGGTATTGTATTTGATATCTCTTACAAAAAGGTTAAAATGGTGCCTAAACGTGGGACAGAGAAGTCACTATGCACAGTATACAATAGTATAGTATAATGTGTTGTATGTAATATGATAGCAATACTATAATATTGTAATATTAGTAAATTTATTTTATAATAGCACAGAAATGCTCTGTGTTGAAGTTCCTGAATGTTGTAAACATGTTTTGTAGGCACCTAGCTTGGGTTGTAAATTCTGGAATTTCTAAATGAAAGACCTGTTACCACCTTTGCTTTTAGCACTAAGTACCTAGACACAAATTCTTTGATTTTTTTAAAGTCCTATAGCTTTCATATATTTGTTAGCCCGTTACTGAAGGTGACTCTGTCAACATTCTGTAAACAGATGTCTTTGCACAGTGTTTGGTGAGTGGCTACTGGTCTGAGTTCCGGAACTTGAGCAAGGCTTGTTCCATGGGTGAAAGAGTAGTTTAGGAAAGCCAAAGAAATGGTTCATTGTGTGGCTGATGCACATAGGACCCAAGCCCATGCAGAAAGCTGTGGAGATTGAAAAAAGCAGGTGCAGACAGACTGCTTGTCTGTGATAAGCACTGTGCCTTAATCCTGAAACATGAATTACTGACTCTTCCTTCTGTGCTTTGTGAAGCAGACAAGACATTGACTCTACAAGATCTGTCTTATTCTGAAGTGTAATTATAGGTGATTTTTTGATATCTATAAAAGACTTCACAAATTATAATAAAAATCTCTAGTGTCAGCCATAACTTATGTTACAAGTTACAGCTTTGCTATAGCTGTGTTTTGTTTCTACCTGATTTGATCTGCTATTCTTTACAGATATGTAAGACACATAGAGAATATGTAGCAAGGCAATTTTTTCTCAGTAGAAGTATGCTTTTGCATATATTTTTATTTGGCTCTTATATTTAGATGCTAAGTGCCATTTTGTATTCACTACATTAATCCTGTACAAAACTACAGATGACACTCTTAGTGGCCTTAATAATTTCATGCAAACTGTTGACACTTAGAATTGTCAGACCTCTGAATTTCATAGAGCTAAGCATGTACATTTACCATTTTACCATAGATTTTAGAAAACTTACACTAAGTATCAATATAGCAGTATTTTACATTATTGGATCAGAAGGTAGCAAAAGATTTACATTACTTGAATGTTTTAAAATACTTTTCAGGCTCAGAAGGCAAAATAGAAAAACCCGAAGATACGGAGTTCTGGATACGAACATAGAAAACATGGAGTTGACTCCATTAGAACAAGATGATGATGATGATGATACAACACTATTTGATGCCAGCCATCCTCGAAGGTTTGTATTTAGAACCTGAATGTACTTCTAGCTATAGAAGTGAAGGAGTGTGGGTGATAAGCAGTTTCTCTGAGAAAGCTCACTACTGTGTTTCATATGCATAGTTGGAGAAGGGATGTCAAGATCACTTGAATTTTAAATGGGCAAGAATTTAGTGGTCAAGAAGATAAACACCATTTGTCTTCAACATGTGAGTTCCAGAGAAATGAAGAGGAAGGTAGGATATTTTTGTTACAAATACAGTATCATTGAAGCTTGTTGTTAAGTCAACAACTAGCTGTTACCTTTCTCTTCTCTTTTTTTTTTTGTAATTTGGAGGCTCCTCAGTTATTTCTTGGATTCTCACCTATGAGTTCTGCTTCAAGCAGCTTTGCTTCATTTGGCTTTCTTATGGCTAAAGTAGTCTGCAGTTAGTTGCTGATCATCCTGCACCAGGTTTTACATTTGGTACTGCTGGACTGATTCATATTAAGCTGTTCTCAGAAACTTTGTAGATACAGAAAAATTTTGTTGTATTTTGTTTGAACTTCCAAAACCAAATTTTGTTTGAACTTTTGTTCTGTTTTCTCAGTGTCCTTAAAAATGATAAATTCGAATTTAAATTTATGCAATTCACACTTAAATTTTTTCCTTATTGAGTAATGCTGTCACATTGCATGTGTGAAGATACAATAAAAATAATTGATGGGATTATCACAGTAATAGTTCATAGTAACGTCTATTTGACTACTGTAAAGTATCAGAAGAGATCTGATTAATTCTTCCAGTCACAGCAAGTAATTGATTCACACTGCTTAATGTGAAATCGGATTCAATCTCAAGCAAAACAGTTTGATAAATGCAATACATGATGTCTTGAATTAAAAGTATTGGATTGGTAAGTCAGGTGTTATGCATTTTATCAGGAGGAACTTTGGATGCAGTTCTGGCACTTGAAGAGAAATGTTCAGTCTGCTTTAACTTTGTTTCCTTAATGGAAATCTTGCTGATTTAATTTTTTTTCATAAGTAGAAGCCTCTCTTGATTTTTTTTCTCCCCCACACAATAGATTAAAATAGCTAGAGTATCTCAACTTAGCATTCCTCTGCATTTTAGAATTATGTGGCATTTACCATTACCCTGTGTTACTAGTCTTGTTCCAGTATATATATATAATACACACAACATATGTAAAATGTAATAGGTAATTGTCACATTATATCCAGGAATTCCCTCAACATCTTCCTTAAATATTTTAGCTTCTGTTGTAATTCAGCATACTTGTTTATGTTGAGGTATGTGATGAGAAGTTAACATGATACTCTTATAAATGCTTATTTACAAAGTATCGACTATGTTTTCAGTAGGAAGTAAAATGATAATATAGGTAGTCTTCATTAACAAACAGTATTACAGAATTATAACTTTCAGAGAGCCTATTTCTGATTTTTCTGCCTTCCTGTTTCCTAAACACTTCATTTTGAAGGAGAAGAAAAATTTGTTGAAGTATTTCATAGTAGAAGTATCTAAACTGTTGTTTCAATAGTGCTCTGAAAGTATGTGCTTAAATTATTGAAGTTCTTGTTTTCCTGAGTTCCCAGTATCAAAACAAGGACTTCAGTTAGATTTAGTGAAGATGGTGAATTTTCTCTGGTTTTGTATATTGATATTTTCCTGTGTTCTGTTTTATGGGAAGAAGCTTTTAAAATTTTCATACTTTTTGTATGAAATGATGAAAGGATGAAAGCAATGCTGAACAATGTGAATTTACTCCATAAATCTCCATAAGAGCAGCTTGATAAATGGTGTTCAAACTATGCAAAGCTACATTGTTGCTGGGAGGATAGTTTGAAAACTAGAGTACTTTTTTGTAATCTCGATTGGGAATGTACTTTTAACAGTTAATTTATTACCCCTTGTTTCAGCTTGTTTGCATCTGCACTGAAACTTAGTAATCCGTATTCACATTACTGCTTAAGCACAATGACTAAAGGGAATACAAAATGTTTAAGTAAGCAAAGACAACTTGATGCTGAGCACAACATCATGAAAATGATACTTGCATATTCTTGGGATATGTCATTACACTTTGTTCTGACATTTATAGTAATTCAGAGGTATGGTTAATTGGGTTTTTTTAAGGTAGCTGAAATATATAGCCAGGCCTGGAACCTGGGAACAAGAAAGAGAGGCTTTTAGTAAACAAAACTTATTTGAGTTTAGTGCTTTGTTAAATAAAGAACAGTGCAGTTTTACTTAACTTAGACTTAACAGTTGAGCTTATTTAGTGCTTAAGTTCCTTTCCCTTGCAACTCATAATGGAAGGCACTAAAAAACAATACAGTAACAGGAAATTCTTTTCTCCATGTTCATTTACAGTTGTTATTGACATCAAAGTAGTCAAGTTTTGGTATATATATAAAAAAGTATTGTTTTATATATAAAAATATGTCTTCTTTCCTAATTTCTTTGTGACCTGTTAAAAGACTGTAGTGGCACCCAGTCTGCTTTCATTTTTCTTGCTTGAAAATATCAAGCTTTTTTAAGGTGATACTCTACAAAATAGTGTGCCTATATTAGAAATCCCTGTAGGCTTATTTTGGGTTATCTGTTAATTGTGTTAGACTATTTGCAGGACTAGACAGAGAATCTGGCTTCTCTCCTACAAATCACCATAGTAGTGTTAGTATACTGGTGTCCAGATACATTACTGCTTTCAAGGGTTGCTGTTTTCTTTCAGAGCTGTATGAAAAAAGGTCCCTGGTGCCCTCAGCTGTAACATACACACAGTTTAAGTGTACTTCCACTGTGATCATCATACATGTAACTAGTCTCTGTGCTGCTGCTGACTGGGACAGTTTACCAAAACAGTAGGTTTTAGCCATTTAGCTCAACAGCTTACTATTAAATGCCCAAGTGTGAAATTCTAGCCTTTGTTCTATTGCAATACCACTTTACATACATGCTGACTGAGGGACAGTACACTATTTCTTGTTTTTCAAAATTATATCACACTACAATCCTCATTGAATTTACAATCCTCATTGAATGACTTCACACAGAAACTACTTGCTCAGTGCTGCAAGGCATAAGGACAGGAATTTATTCTTTTTTTTTTTCTAATATTCCATAACTGGAATGCTACCAGGACGTGCCAGAGTTTCACTAGGAACTCATGAGCCTTGAAGTTTCAAAATATATTTATCATGGTAAATCCCTCTTTATTTTTGTAAATGAGATTTCTCTCTATTTGGAAAGGTTAAATGAATTCATTACTTCACAGTAATATGGTAACTATGAGGTTTTTTCAGTCAAATTTAATAATAAAATGTCACATCTCTCTGGGTTCTTTCATAGTGTGTCATTTTTAAATACGTAGGCTAAATTTGCCTTGAAACAGGGCATTTCAGATTAATGCATCTGTTTCTTCTATTGTAGAGAAGTACGTGCCTTTCAATGAAAGAACTTAATCTTAGAACCAGAGAAGAAGACTGCTTCATGGGAGAAATAAGAAGCAAGAGGATATGCAAGTGGGGGGAAACTAATTTAATTTGTGTATTTTATGGCATCCTTTTGCATCTTGCAATAAGTAATTATCAATTTGTTGTATCTTTTTGTATATAGAGATTCTCATTGTATAACCTATGGGGAGAGAATACTAACTGTGATAACATAAAAACCTATTTAAAAGGGAGATTACTTGTAAAACAGGGTATTTTTTGCTTGTTACAAGTCTTGTATGCCATTACAAGTGTGGTATACACTTTTTTTCTACAGTAACCTGGAATGTTAATTTTTTCTTCTGATATTAAATTGTAAGTAAATAAAGCCACTGTGGACTTCTCAGAATTGTTAGAACATTATTTTAATTGAGGAGATGATATATTGTTTACCAATAAAAAGCCAAACCACTGCCTTCTGTGTTGAGAATTAAAAAAGCTGAATTAACATGTTTTGTTCATGTAAACTTCAGTGAAAAAATAAAATGTGTTTACAGTGCTCCTCGCATTTAGTGTGATGCTCCAACACTGTATGTTTTAAGGATACTTGGGATATTAATATAATTATGTAAAACATGCTATTGCAACATCTTCTTGCTGTTAAGACTCCTGATTGCAACTGTTGAGTTAATTTTTGGTGGGGTCTGTCTTCAACTTGTGTGAGCAGATATGGCTCAGTGACTTTAGGGTGTTGCTGTGTGATGTCAGTATTCAGACCTGTAGTGAAGCAGAGATAAACCTTTAGGAAAATTCTAAATATTCTGTAACTCTAAAATGAAACACTAACATCAGAAGCAGCTGTTACTGAAATGTGTGGTAGTACTTTCATGAATGTAGTTGACATACAGCAGTTATATCTAGTTTTTGGCTAGTGCCATGAAAATTATTAGAACAATCTTTAAGACCTGGAAGATACACTTTTTTAATGTGTTGCAGTTTCCACCGTAATCTTGATAATGTAGACAAAATGTTCAAATTCTAGTTTAGAATTAATATGTACTTTTTTTGATAATTCCATATATCCCATAAGCTTTCTACAGCAGTATTGGTGGGGGTGATATGTGTCCTCAAAGTGCCTAAGTTATGGGCTATAGAGAAAGAGGAATATTTTTTCTTGATTCTTCACCGTCTTGGTGTTTGAACAAAATTGAAGTACTTTTCTTTGAGGTAATTTCTACAGTGATAGGGTGGGGAGGGAGTCTGCTGTAGATTTTCCTTACTTTTACCAGCTGATTTGTTATATTGAAACCTTCTTACTTGCACTAATAACACTTCAGATGTCAAATCAGCCTCCCAAGGTAATTTTCACCTACAGTTGCCCACGTGCCACATACAGCTGGGAAATAGATTGTATTTACAATAAATGCAAGTCTTTTTTTTGCGTCCTGTTATACATAGCTTTTTCTGCTTATGTGTAAAGATAAAACTAAACTGGAAATACAGCACTAATTCTTGGAACTGCTTAGTTGTGCAATCTGGAGACAGTAAAGAAGTAGTAAATAGTAAATAACTGGGTTGTAGACTGCAGGTGAGAGAACAGTAAATGACAGACGACAAAGTATGCTGTTTCCATATATAGAGGGGACCATCAGTGTTAAACTAAACATAATTGAAATCTTTCAGAAGTATAGACTGTTCCTGACATCCTAGAATTCAATGTAGAATCTTTCTAGGCTTTGAGCCACCCTGAATAGGTGTTATCCATGTTATGCACAGATATTTGAACTGTTCAAGCAAGTTAAAATCACTGAAAATGCAATCACTCTTTAAGCTCTTGTATATGCTGTGGGTAAACCTTGATGTTTTCCTGCAGAAAAAAACCAAAATGGAACAGATTATTTATGTTTCCAAGCAAATTTTTATGGTGGAAAAACCCCCCAGCCATACTGGATTTTACCAGTATTACTGAACACTTGGCTTGTCTGGTCCCTGCTGCTGAACCAAATAGTGGCACCTGTGGTCTTTTCTCCCTAGAGATGCTATTTAGCTACCGGTGGGTTGCAGCTGGGCACATGAGGACAAGCCCAGGCATGCCCAAGCTCCAGTGCTTATAGGCTGGAGTTTGTTGGTAGAAGAGGGTCACTCCTCAGGCCTCCCTGTGCTGGAGAAACCTTTTAAGGTGATGGTGAAGAAGGAGTCAGTCCTGATGGAGGGTTTAATCCAGAGTTTTTATTCTGGGCCACATGGCCTCTGAATGCAATAACAGCTCCACCAGAACTCCCCCAGCACATGGTGTCCTGTCCTTTTACCCAGGGATGAGGGGGAGGGGAGGGAACACAGGGGCCACCAACCAGGTAAGGGGGGAGGGCATCTTAGGTGAGAGGGACAACCTGGATGGGCCAATGGCCCCCCAGGGGGTGGAGAGCATTCTTTGAGCCTGCCAATCACTTGATGCTCCCCTGGAATTTCTGGGTTGATTGAGAGTGGTGGAGGGGAGACAGCGGGAGTCAGGGTGGGGGAGAGGATAGGTGATTGACACCTGGGGAAAGAATCTTCAGGGGAGGGACCAGTGAAACTGAGGCACACCATGATAACACACTGCAACATTGCAACAAATTTTCTCAAAAATTTTTATAGGCTTCTTTCATCCATGCCTCCAAAATCATGATGCTCTATTTACAGGAAAACCATCTGTGAAGCAATCATATGACTAGTAATAAGTTTTGGAACAGATTTGGTTTCTGATATGTCCAATACCATATGGTTGATGGAGCAAGCTTCCTTGGCCTTATTCAGCTTGTATCTAAGTAGCTGAATTGGTTTTCATTGCATTTGCAGACACTAGTTAGAAAATAATCATGGTTTTGTATATCTTGGTCTTAACTGTTGGAAATTGCAGCTGTGAGTTACATACAGCGCCTGTTGATAGTTGCAACACCATCAGTACCATTTCCAACTGCTTGTGAAAAGCTGTTCGTAGAGCTGTTCTAACATACTTTCAAAAATTTGGGAAAGAATATGCCACCACACAACTGACCCATGCATAAAGAGAAATGAAGTTTATTTCAAGCTTATTTATCACTTTAAAAAAATGAAGACAAGTAATTATGAAATGTGCAACTGAGTAGCTGTGTATGGAAAATTTTATCCCCATTTGAACTAAAATATTAATAGGCCAGTAAAGAATGTGAGCTGATCTGCTGCTGTCCTTGAAGACAGGAGACAGCCCAAGTTTAATGAGAAATAAACTGGGAGAAAGGCTAGATTTCTTCTATAACTTGAATTTCTGAAGACAGAAAATGGAATGCGGAGAAGAATCTTGGAAGATTTAAAAAAGAATAATGTTTTACAAGTTTTACAGTATTAAGGCTATCACAGCATATCTATTACTGTTAAGGCTATTACTGTATGCTAAGGCTTTGTGACTGTTTTCCTTCAGTATTTTAATTTGAGGCACAGCTTGTACAAGAATATGTAGTTCCTGATCAAGTCTGAATACATTAGTTCAGTCCATTGATAGGATAATGGAGCAGACATCCTGTGATATCATTAATGGGTCCAAGCACGAAAAATCCATGTGACTGAAGAGTCAGAAAGCAGTTTTATTTTCTGCGTTGACCAGTAAGAGCCAGGAACAATCTTTTTATACATAAGCCAACTGAAAAACTTTAGTCTCAAAAGATCCAGTATGAGTGGACTGCTTCATAGTTTCTGAATAGACTTCTCTTTGCTGAGTGGGAGATGATGATGTCTCTGCTGACCAGTGAAAGGGCAGATGGGATTGGAAAGAGGTTGCATCCAGTGGAATTCAGGTTGGATGTATGGCGTAGTCTGAGTTCAAAAGTTATGCCAGAGTTCCTTTTGATACCTATTTGTATCAGTCTAGGTAATGGGCACTTTGTTCATCAATTTTCTCTCCTAAGCTTCATCCAGTTTAATAGAAACAAACATTCATTCTTATTAGCTTCAGAAAACTTGATCCATAAAGACAGATTCTCAGCCAAGCATTTAATTGTTCATGTTTTAAAGAAAAGTTAGGTTCAGTTCAACAGCTGATTGGATCATTAATTGCATAAAGAAGTACTCATTTTTAAGAAACAAATTCTTTATTATTTGACAGCTTTTTCTTACAAAAAGAAGATAAATCCAGCCAAAAGCCTGTTGGTAAGGTAATGGCATTTATGAGGAATCTTAAAGAAACTTCTTCAAAATATTACATTATTGAAAGGTCTATATCCCACATTTTGAACCCTGGGAGATTTCACAGGCAATATGTTTGGGCTGATATTACTCCTTTTATCTGCCTTGGGCATTGTCCAAAAAGAGATGTGTGACTGTGGATTTCTATTCAGACCAAATACAGTAATTTTTATTCTGTGCTCTGATAGAGTCCAAAGGCTTCTCATCTTCCTAAACAGAAAACACTTTATCTTTTACAAAGATAAAGTTTTACAGATTAAATCTGCTGAATCAAAGCAGACATGTATACCTCAGCATTTTTGTGATGTTTCTGAAAGTTAGCAGTACACTTGCAGTAAGAAGATTGCTCAGACAGGTGGTAAAATTTAATTCAAAGTTTCACTGTCTATTCTGTCAGATCTTTAATTTTGCCTTTCCTGATATGAAAGCTAAATCTTGTTTCTAGTAATTGTAAGCCTATTGCACTGAAGCTACAGTGAGTAGTAAAAAGAGCTTTGTTCTGTTGCAGATCTGACCTTTCTTTCAAGATCATTATACTGCCTCTCCATCTTGTCTGAACAAGACACCCTCAATTTCTTTCCTCTTGTATTGGTTTTGCATTGGTTTTTGGTAGGACGGGGTCTACAGGGGTGGCTCCTGTGAGAAGCTGCTAGAAGCTTCCATCATGTTCAACAGAGCCAATCCCTGGAGTCTACAAAGATAAACATGCTGCTGGCCAAGCCTGGGCCAGTTAGAAATCGTGGTAATGCCTCTGTGATAACACTTCTAAGAAGAAAGATGCGCAACAAGTTGTTGCACAGTTTCAATTCCAGCCAGAGGCGAGCAAGGTGAGAACATGTGAGAGGAACAACAATGCAGACCATAAGGTCAGTGGAGAAGGAGATGGAGGGGGTGCACCAGGTGCTGGAGCTGAGATTCATCTGCAGGCTGTGGTGAAGACCATGGCAAAGCAGCTGTGTCCCTGCAGGTCCATGGGGATGCAGAGATCCACCTGCAGCTCATGGAAGAGCCCTCACCAAAGCAGGTGGATGTCTGAGAGGAAGCTGTGATCCTGTGGGAGATCTATGGAGAGTGGGATCCTGTTCCTGCACTGGAGCAGCCTGTCCTTGAGGGACTTCACCCCATGGAAGAGTGACCCATGCTGCAGAAGTCTGGGGAGGACAGCTGCCTTTGGGATGGACTCACATCGCAACAGTTTGCAGGGAGCTGTTGCTTATGAGATGGACCTGTGTCAGAGATGTTCATGGAGAACTGTCTCCTATGGGAGAGACCCCATGATGCATTGTCGCCCTGATATTTTAAGATTTTCTAAGCCTTCTGATGTTTGCATTTTTGTACAAACTTTCTCACACACTTTCT